GGAGATTTCCCACTTCCTGGACACAATGGCAACCTCCATCACATGACTGCTGCACAGTGACAGTTAATCATTGGCTCCGCCCCCTGGATGAACATGACATTCAGTACACAGGATACTACAAGAGCCTGCACACTGCACACATAAACACCACGTGACCAATAATATCACAAGGACAACCTGCTGTGAGATCCGATTGGCCGATATCTCCATCCTCTGCAGGGCTCGCTCCCTCCTCTGCCGGGTCATCTCCATCCTCTGTTGGATCCTCCTCCCATTCAGCCAGCGGATCACCAGGAGCACTGCACATCCGGTACCACCGACCAGCAACGCGACCACCGACCGGGGATCATCCGCCATTGTCCGACCGACCGGTACAGCTCCGCTACAACAGACTTTGACCTGGGGGCGGAGCCTCAGTACTTGTGGTGGACACGCCCCTAAACCGCCTACTTCTACACCTTATACGGGCTTTATTATTGCCTGACCCCGCCCCTACACTGATAGAGCCCATCCCCCGCGCCGCTCTTTGTACCTTGTACCTGCTTTATTATGTCTCAGCGCGGCCCCTATACTGATAGAGTCCCCCACACCCTCCTGTACCGCCTTCCTGTACCGCCCTCTTCTCCTTATACCCCGCCCCAACCCTGATAAAAATCTCCTCCCACTTGCTGCCTACTACTGCCCGACCCCGCCCACACACATTCTGTTCCTTCACTATTGTCAGACCCCGCCCCTACACTTGATAGTCCACTCCCCCCTGTACACCTTGTACCGCTCTGTTTCTGTCTTTCCTTTACACTAAGCTTCCTAATTAGCCCCTCCCCTCCAGGCAAACACCTCCCCTGTGCTGTATGACCACGCCCCCTATAGTTCGGGGATGGAGACTCAGTAGGAGGATCGGTCCCCAGGAAGATGGTGAGTGGGCGGGGCAGTCTTCGGAAAGATGGTGAGTGGGCGGGGCGGTCTTAGGGAAGATGAGAGGACGGCGGGACGCAGCGTGGTGACGTCATTTCCGTGCCGTGACCCCTCTCGTCCTTCCACACTGCGGCGGGTGAAGATGGTGCTAGAGATGGAGAAGGTTCTGGCCGGAGAGCCCGAGGAGGCAGAGCAGGTGAGACAGGCCCGGCTT